AACAACATGTCATTGTTTCAGTTAACACAAATACATGCAAATGCACTTGTCCTGCTATAGTGTATCTTGCGATGAACCAATACTTCAGCATCGCCAGCAAGATTTGAGTACTTCGATACACCTTTCCACAGTATTCCGAGGCCGACAATGTTTTTGGGCGTAGTGCCGTTGTTGAGTGTCTGGCTCGGTATTAATGACTAGTATTAAGTACACAAATAAGCTAGTAACAAATAATTATATTTACCTTTTAACGTGTATTATTTCTTAATAGATAAAATCCATAGCGTTCAATCTTCGCCTTGGTAAGGGAGGAGCCCTTTTCTGTATCAATTTACTTCTCGAATTCCATTCACATCTCGAACTCTATTTACTGTTACTTACTTCCCAATGAAATAATGTCTAAGTTAAAGAGTTTAATATTTTTTTACAAATTTGTTTGTTTAAATGAAGTTTAAATTTACTGTTATTCTGACAGTGACTGACTGACGTGACGTATGAGCACGAGTCATTGCCAGCAAAAAGGAAATAAGAAAAACAAAATCAAATACTGTATGTAGTTTTCACACTGTATTTTAATGGATTTTCTAGTTTCTTGATAGATATGAGAAAATATTATAATTAAAAAACATTCAGGATCGAAATTTTTAATTTAAGTTATAATAAAACACAAGATAAACAAAACCGGTAAAGTTACGGTTCGGTTTTTCTCTATATATTTCTTATGTAGCAACATCGGCATCTAATATGATTCAGTTATGAAATGAATTGAAGGTGTTTCATATTTTATTGTTACCATTTTATGGTGATTTAGGTGATTCTCTAACAATTCATCAAATCTGTCATATTAGAAATGATTCACCCAATGTTACCTTTTTAGGCCCCCAGGTCTCAAAAATGTCGGACTAGTTTCTACGAGAGTAAAAGCCTTTCATGATCAGGAGAGTTTCATAAGAGCCCAGCTTTCATCTACTCCAATCGTCTTGGAAGTTATCCAAATCTATTTATGGAAAATTTTCGGTGACTTGCGTCTAGACATCTTGCAACACTGCAAATAGTTCGGTGCATCTCTAAAATGTTAGCGGAATAACTTTTAGAAAAATATAAAAGCAAAGTTTTTTACGACGGTCTCCCTCGAAATCTTGAACAGCAAAAAGTCGTTGAAACTCAACTGTGAATAGTTTCGCATCTTTTCTCAAAGTTTCGAGAAATAAATAAAAGAGTAGAATTAATCAGCAGCTAATCAAAATGTACCGGAAAACTAGATAGAGTTTGGCTATTTGTATTATTTAATCATTTTAGATTGCATCTTTTCTACTGCAATTTTAAAATTTCATCCATTCGTCGCTAAAATAGTATTTTAATCTGGGTCGAAATTAAAGAAATGTCCGTCGAATAAAATCAAAGATATGAAATTGTAAAGCAGAATTCAAGTTGAAAGGGAAATAAATTTTTGCAAATATTTCCAAGATGAGGAATATTTCAAATTCTAATCTTGCACTTTAGTCCGATGGTAGACATGCAGATGGGCCGAGAATTTTCACCGATTTGCATCGGTTGCAAAACTAAGTTATGGTAATCTGGCTATAAGTTACAAGCTCGTGCTGGTAAGCTTTTCAATTTTATTGGGAGATTGGATATTTTGAGCCTTAACTCCTCAGGGAAATAGAATTCCCCGCTTTTAAAGCGAATGAATTAATTTGCATAGCGTTCGGTGAATCATATCCTTTGGTTTTGTACTTGTCGGTCAAAGTAATTATTCAACTGGTTTCCTTTGAAGTCCTTTGTTAATAAATCTCACTTTTGATTTTAATTACAGAGGCGATGTTGTTATTTTAGGCCTTCATTTTATCCTAATTTTTACAATGTCGTGGTATTTGCATTAGTCAGTGTATTAACAACTTTATTACCATTATTGTGATTACTTACTTAATTACTTACTGACTCCTAAGTAGCCAAAACTTTATTTGGCTCAATCATCAAATGACAGTACAGTTCTTGTTATATTACTAACTACATTGATAACTTTATAACTCTATTTGCTATAATCAGTTGTACTACTAGTGTTTGGTTTTAACGGGATTTAACTGTTATTATCGAATAATCCAATTATAGTTTTCATGCCTACAAAGTTATACGATACAACGAAACTATCACAGTACTAACTCACAGTATATCATCCAAATAAAATATAAACAGTGATAAAATATACAATGCTATAAATTATACATAACAATATTCCGCATAGTAGTAGATTTGTATCGGGACCAGCACATCACTCTTTTCGCGGAAATAAACTTGCCAGGACACAGCTCTGTGTCAACGAAAACTCAGCCAAGATTTATCGGAGCTTACGACCAACAATATTGATATTCAAAAGCTGACATAAATATTACATTCCTTCTAAAGTTTTATGAATTTTTGATATTTGTTGGTACTTATTTTTGTATATCGATTTATTTCTGTGTACATATTCTCGTTATGTTTAATTGTTTTTGCACCTTCGTCAAAACGTGTAAAATTGCCTTTCGTTTAATTCTAATTGCGGTTAATTCTTCTTTTGTATTCATCTTTAGTGTTCGAAAAAATGTAATATCTGTCATTCGTTATAACAGTCCACAATCCATAACACTCAAAAACTCGAATGAAACACACAATATAACAATAAACCTTCCACACGTAAAATGTTATGAAGTTACCTTTACCGGGAGAAGTGCGGAAAATCTATTGAAAATTCCTATTTTTCTCTGCATTTTTTTTCACTACAAAGAGCTTTTATAAAGCTGACGTCAGCATAGTCAAAGTAGTCGAGTAAATAGCAGGTGTCTGTCGGACGAGGCAAGTTTGCATCTCTTAAATCGTTTAACAGTTGGGTTTCATTATCAGGCACTCCGCGAGAGCTTGCTCGTCAGAGTTATTATTCGCATGCGTAAACCTTGCTACCGTATCAGAGCGTTCAGTGGTAGACAGACACCGGGGCGGGAACACGTCCCTGCCCTGGCTCGACTAACGTCCCATGTTACACGAACGCGATCTCAGTCCGCACGAAATAAAACTGATTGTGATAATATTCTCAAAAGTGAATGTGAAATTTACGATAAAAACTAACCAGTGATTTTAATTATCTCATTAAATTAATAATAAAAAATATTATTACATTTTAATAAACTAAATTAACATTTTTTGAGGAATTGTGGTGTAGATTAATTTATTCGTTTTAAAGTCAGGTGTGAGTTTTAGATGAAAGGTAAAATTTGTCGTTAGTTTTCGTCGTCATTAAATTAGTAGTATCTATAGAAATAATTTCATAATCGTATAATATGACACTATCATATTTCATGAGGCTTTCGTAAATATCCAGTCATTATGGATATTAAAAATGGTGTTCCATTTTTACGTAATGTTCAGGCTCATTCATAGCCGGTCGTTTGCACTGCGATGATCCCTACTTGTCATTCTCTACGCTCACTACTTTATCACCGACTTAATCTACAACCTACCAATTGTTATTCCGGATGGTGATCTGGACAAATAACCTTATCTAACAACCTTTTATTCAGGAAGGCATTTCTAGTCGACAGCAAATCTGACAAAATGATATCCCCAAGGTAATATCAAGCACGCCAGTTGCTCAAAACATTTTAGCAAAATTGTCCTTAAACAGAATCGTATTTCCAGTCCGGACTAAGTAATCTACCGTTTATGAAAATTGTCTGTTGAAAATCTTTTTAGATTGTTATGGGAAATGCCTTCGCAGTTATATTCAATATTTTAAGCCCTTTGAAAGGGTCTCGGAATAGATTAGGGAAAAATAACGCAGGTATAATTTGAAAATAGCGTTTTAATGGTAAAATATTACGCACCCAGTTACAGTCGGTACATTTTCGTTTGTATTTTTTAAATGTGGGGAAAATACATATATGTATAATTGAAATTCATGGTTATGAGGGTTGAGGCATCAAATTTTCGTTATGCAAATTTAAAAGGCGCAGGCAAATCGCATTATCTTTATGATACATACAATTCAACGCTTCGGGTAAGCGGGCGTCGAAGGCGAAATACTATTATGAGTTTTGACGTCCCGATTAGCAAACTTTACACAAACAGCCAACTTCAAACTTTACCATACCCGTATTTGAGTAACGTTCTAAATTGTACAGAAATAATGTTCACTTATTCTGCTTACGACCATTTTCTCGGCTCGTTGCCAGAAATTGTGCGAGCTTTCGTGTTTTTTTTTCTTTTTGTAACCCTAGTGCATTCGTAATTTAATTGGTCCGAATGGTCAAGCCTTGACTTGTTCCAGATTATGATTTTCAGAAAAGTTCTATACGATTCTTTTTTCGAAATTTACCAAATGTGGTAGATAGGACCTCATATAATTCGATAAGGGCCAGTATCGAGACTATAACAATCGATAAACTCGGTTAAGAAAAATAAACTTGGGGCAAGATGATCGGTTTGGTAAACACAATTTGTTTCCTGCTTTACATTTATTTTGGTTTATGGAAGATACAAACAGCTTTAGGAAATCAATTTATCTGATACTCACCAACTGCTACCCACTGTGTAGATAAGATTGTGACCTTAACATTACGTTTTAATTAAATCCATAGGTTTTTTTTTTTAAGGGGGGAAAATCATCGAATGACTGCTCCCGCCTGGGTGAGGCGGGAGGGAGTGTCAGACTCTTACTGACTAAAAACCACCCCGTTCCTTCTCCTGCACGTCGAGCCGGAGCCCCGGTTACCCGTTAGGTTCTCCGCGACAAATCCATAGGTATAGGTAATTGACAATATTAGCAAAATGCAATATTATATTATACAAATACTCATCATCCAAATTTACATTCGTCATAATTCATTTAAGGTTAGTCTTTGTATTAATTTAAAATAGGGATAGACACAAAAAGGGAATATAAAACAATATCTCCTTGGAACAATAAAAAAAAAACCGAGACATGGAGATGGTCGCTTGACAGTTGAGGGGTTATTTAAATATATTAATTAAATAGTTGTTAAAATAGTAATTTATAAAATAAAAAGTATAAACACAGTACTTTTTATTTACATAACTATAGTGACTTACATACATAATTTTATTCTTTCTTTTATATTAAATATATTTGATTGTATTATAAAGATTTTTTTTAAAATAAAGTCCAATATCCAAAGAAACTAACAATGTTGTAAAGATACGCTTTAAAATGTCCACAATCTCATTTCTTGTATTATTTCCCAAGTGAATGGAATGAACACGAGACAGAACAAATAAATACTAGTCTATCCGTCTTGTGACCTGCAAAGACTTAAATCTGAGGAAGAAGGAAACAACAGAAAATATACTTTATTTAATGACATTTGAGTTTACATTGCAATAGTAATTGCATCCGATCTGTGGCAATAATCTCAAACTTAGATAGAGAATTTATAAAATAAATGGGATACAATACATCATTGAAATAGATTCCATTTAATACGTCATCATCATTTTATCGTCAAAAACCGTTCAATTACACTAACAGACAGACACTTCTTTATTTAAATTCGTTTGTTAACTTTCAAAAGTGCTTTGTTAATCTAAATGATTTGATATTGATTTTGATTTTGTCATCAGCCGTATGCCGTCCACATCAGTACAAAGCCCCGCCTTTTTAAATATCTGCACAGAGAATACCCAGGTTACATTACATTACATTATTCAAAAACTTGGACAAATTTTATAACAGTATGTAGCTGAAACTCAAAAAGGCGTGGCACGTAAATTTAATATTTCATTCGTAATTCTGCATAAATCCGTTCTGGGTGAGTTACTCCCTGAGAATGAAGGATTACACCCCTGTACTCTGACTGTGGAATTTTTAATGGGTCCTCTTGTTACACAAATTACCTTGTAAAATTTGTATTAAAGCTGGTATTATTAGTTTAGTTTGTAGGCACCTAGTTAGCTATATATTTCCCTTTCCAGTAGGGTTACTGTTACGAGGGTTCGGCGGATAAATGTTGAAATTTATCAGTAATAATAATCTGTACAAAATTATTTCTTTACTAAACCTTTGAATACATATTCAATGATTTTGTGAAGATTTCGAATATGTCTATACAATACTAGCTACTTCCGCGCGGTTTCACTCGCTCTGCTCGGCGCCTATTAATTGTAGCGTCTATCCAACACAGAAAGAATTTTTCAAATCAGACCAGTAGTTTCGGAGATTAGCGCGTTCAAACAAACCTACAAAAAACAAACTCTTCAGCTTTATAATATTAGTATATAGATAACAAGAATATGTATACCCAAAAGAAATCATGACCATTGGTTCAACTGCTTAAGACCTAAAGAATAATAACAAGTTTTAAGTTTCTTCGTTTATAAAGATGGCCAAACCTTTGTAATGACACTATTAAAACTATCTAATAAATAATAGATACTATATTATATCACTTTATATATAAGGGAACAAAACATATCAATTTATATTATTTTTTGAAGGGATGCTGATGAGAATAATTAGTAGTAAAATAGTTAAGGAGCAGCCAATGTAAAGCTAATAGTTACCACGTACCTAATATACAAACATTTTGCAAAATAGCGAACATACTATAGAGGTATTACTACCGAGAATTCGATAATGGAATATGTCAATAGAGAACAGACTTTAAAAAAAGAATGAAGCTCTATACCAGCATTTTTTTCCTGTATCGTAGGTGTTTTTACAAACATACAATGTCACATACATAGCCAAAGGTCCTGTTGAATATAAACTTGCTCAGTGGCATCCAGATTGTAATAAGAACATCACCACAAAATATCGATTTCAAATTGCCATTTCATCGAAACTTTTCATACCGATACGACATTTGATTCGATTGATTTTTATTCGTGTTTATTCAGTGATGCATGGTAACTTGATATACATATAAAACATTGGCGATTCAACTCTGAACCAAAACAAATGAAAACGAACCGCGATAAAAATACAAACTAAATAGAGTTAGTCCTAACGTTTTCACGGTAGTTTCAATACAAAAACTGGGTTTAAAATGCTAATTTTTATTATTCAGCCCCATAGAAATAACAGTACCTATTTATTTCCTTTATGAATAGAACTTTATGATAGGACTTGGAAAACTAAGCCCAGTTATTTGTTGTTACTAACTCAAAAATATAATGTGTTACGATTATAATTGAGATGACATTCGACTTGGAATTAGTAGAAAAAAATCACTAGCGCCTACATGTACAATGCGAGGCTTCGTTTAAGAAAAATAAAGAAAAGTTAACTACGCGACGTCGCGTTGTTGTACATGATGCTCTTATGTTTATGAGTGCCAGTAATAACCTGAAAGTAGTTGGGCACCCTCGAACAGTATCGTAGTCGTTGGTAAGATACTCAGTATGTCTCTCGATATTTTCATGTTCTATAAAATTTTTATACAACAATAAGTTTTATGGAATAATAACTTTATTATAAGTCAAAAGACATTGTAGTTGTAGTATAAAACCAATTGAATTTTATTTTTTATACATTTTAATAGGATGGCGTTAAAATGGCTACCATCTCATGTTTGTAGTTTACAGAATTTTCCGTACAAATGAAAATTGGACAAAGTTACAATGACACAATGATATCTACAGTGGAAAATTTAAATTATGTATTATCATTAAATAATATTTTAAACGAACAATGCCAGGTGCGAAATTTCTGTATTTTAAATTTTAACTATATGACTCATTTATTTTTATTACTAGGTACAAACGAACATTACAAATTCATTTTACAAATGAAATGAATTTTAACCAAAACCAATATGAAATTATTAATATTTTCATACATCTTCATAAAGCTTGTAGTTTAACGTATTTTTAAGGGAATCATCCATTGACTTCTCCCGCCTTAGGTGAGGCGAGAGGGAGTGTCAAATTCTTACTGACTGAAAACCACCCCGTTCCTACTCCTAAGTTATCTGCAGCTCTGGTTGTAATGTGAGTTGGTAACTAATTCTTTGAATCTGGTTTCCATTGTGAAATCAGGCCATTAAGAAATTGTCATTTCATAAGAACATTTAATTTTCGAATAAAAATAATACTTACTTGATTCAATACTCTATTCTCTATCTTCTTGAGTCGACCACACTCTTGAGAACTAACATAAGTTGTTATTATAGCAATTAGAATATGTACCCTTCTAACACCTACATAAGATTCTAAATTAAACGAGTTTATTTACACGCACCTATATCAACAAAGTATAATCATATTAAGTAAGAAATCCTATGTCCTCTGTGGCTCTAACGATACATGTTCAATGTTCATGTTGATACAGACAAAGTCCCATATCTCTATATATAAGTACTTCATTGGATTTGAAGACTGTTTGGTAAAATTTTCCTACTAGTTCGACTACTGATCAAAAACAATTTTGTCTACAGAATTTGAAACTAAATCATAAATACAAATCACAAAAAAATTGTTAGAAAGTGGGTGGTACATTTAAATTATAAATACACCCCGTCTACATCTACGGAGAAATGAAACTGACGATTGATTACACGAATGGTAGCCTTTGAACTAAATTTTTCACGAATGGTGAGAGTATACAAAATGGAACACAGGTACGATATATTCAAAATCTTAATTCTATTGGCTGTTAGTAGTGCGGACATAATGTTTAAGTAAATGTAAAAACCCCTTCCTTAAAGCCTGCGGCGTATGTACACGGCTATGTAATAGGTGTATGGTATATATAAGTACAAACATAAGTATAATGGGCGCACATCATGTTCGTATATAAAATGTAAGAGATTCTTGATGTTTTGTGACGACAGTAAAGCTTAATGATTTTCCTCAAAATCCTCTACTGTTGCTCTCTGGTAGTGGTAACTTATTTTAAATTATTATCTCCTCTATTACAAGTTTGATCTGATTATTTGCGCAATTAATGTCCCTAAATATCTGATATTAATATAATTATCAATATGACAGTGTTCAAGCTTCAATAATTTTAAGCTTCTATTGATTTAATTCAATCAAAAACCATTGCTGAATAGAATTCAATTAGACATCTATTTGACTTCACTTGATTTGTATAGAGAATATTTGTTGAATTCAAGACTTTAAAATAATTATTCAGAAGAGCTGTATTTCAATATGGCTTAAGCTATTTTCCAATTACATAAGCGTCACTGCCTTACACCACTAACATTCATGCTTATAATACGAAAATTATTTGATACGATTCTTTCAAAAGCAGTCGGTAAGTCTCCTTTACACTTTTTGTTAATTTGAGTTTTCAGCGAGCCTTTGTCGTTTCGTGAGTCAGCAAAAAACCTGCCTAAAGGCTTAGAAGAGATTCCCTAGCATCCCTATTGTTGAGACCTAAATATTTGTCAGACCCAAAGACTTAAAGGACTTACTCGGCTTTTCATTAACTTTAATCTAGAGAACAGACTATTTTAAAGCTATTTATTATTTAGAGTATTCGTAATTTCAAAATGTATTATTTTTGTTTGAGAAAATGACCTTAAGATATTACTTTAAGTGAAAATCTTGAATTGAATCACAAATATAATACGCATAACTTGTTTCGTTGAAATGTTCTAATAATGAAGATGAATACTGAAACAGACGTAGATAACGAAATAAATTCGGAGAAATTATATTTATCATCTAAAATTATAGGAGGGTCTCCTAAACTACGGCGCATTAGTAGGAAAAATCGTCGCGAATATTGATTTCTGAGGGCTAAGCGTCAGTAACAGAACCCCTGGGAACTTGAAAACAGCGATAATCAAAAAAATATTCTTTTTTCGGTAAATGTTCCATCATTAATTTATTTGGACGCAGAATTTCAACGATTGGTTGTGACGAATTGATATTTTTCATGAGTCCTCTTCGGCAAAGAGGGGCATTTATTCCATGGGTTCTGCAATTTATTACTCTCATTTATCATTTCATCGAGTTGAAGCGCCCTAACGTATCACAACGAAGAGCCGTCTTTTGTACATTGCCCTTTTATTTATCCTCTTATATAGCCCTAATTAATGTTTTATGTCTGATAGATCCTTTCCACTCGTTTCGGATTACATTGGCTGTTTTGTGATAAACAAAATTTCGTAATATGTACTGGGATTAACATTAAAATTGTAAATATTTCGTAAATTCGTCCGTCACTCGGAGCTTTGCTTTTGTGAATATCATATTTTTGTAATGAGCTGTCGATTTATAACATTAAAATTGTTGAATATTTTGAAGTCCTATCATTGCTCTGTCAATAAAGTGTCACAATTAGTAGTCAGTAGAATGGGGTTTCGTATAAAATATTGTTCATTTTAGCAGGGGTATATAAAGGAGCATTCATGTCAACATTGGGCTAGAAAACGATTAAATAAATGAACAATGAAACAATAACAATTTACTGAATATAACAAGCTTTAACGTGTCAATAACAGTGTAGTGCAAACAAACGAAACTCATTCGCTGTGTGACTGAAGTGAAAAACAAAACAACGGTAAAAAAATGTTTGTGCAAGTATAAAAACAACAACAAAAAATTTTGTAAAGTTGATTTTTTTATAGTGATTGTGTTGAGTGAGGGTAGTGTGTTATGGTGGGAGGAGTAGTAACAGCATGACCACGTGGATGGCGCTGTTCGGGCTAGTGTGGCTGCTCCGCGTGCGTGGTTCGCTCTGCGGCTGCGCGGCGTGCAGGCGAGCGCGCCACGATGCGCAGGAGATCCAGTGCGCTCCTAGCCCGCGCGCGCCCAGCCCCGAAGAGCAAGCCCCGTTTGACGTCATCACACTGGAGCATTACACCCGTGACGTCACTGTACAGACTGACTTCGACGATGAAGACGTCGAGGATCTCGACAAAATCGAGATGCAGATATCTGAAGAATGTAAGTTTTTCTTTGATATATTTTTATTCGCACTTTAGGGAACTATTTTTGACTACCATAATACTAGAGGTATACATATAATAAAATATAATATCAGTTTTAAGTCAGCTTTCAAATTCTCAGATAACTTTAGTTTTCACCTACAAACCAGACTTACGCCTGAATACTAAAAGACTTTTAAGTTATACTTAAATATCGTGCCATCTCTGTCATTGCACAAAGAATTTGTAGTGACAAAACTTAAACGCGACTTATAAAATAGAGTAGCGTTTGAGTATTTAGACATAACACTTATAGATTTTTAAATTTCGTCGAAATAATCAAAAAGACATTTAAAATGGTTCTTATTTAAATGCCAAATGGAATAATAGTTCTCATATATAAAAACTCATACATAATATCAAAGACAAGACAAAGAAATACAATTAGGTCAAAGAAACATCTTTGTTCCCTTTTTCTGTAAGATATATATTCCCTTTATTATGACACTATACATCTAAAAATAATTGGGTCTGCTTGTCTTACGTTTTTCTGAAATAGTTTTCGAATTCCATGTTTAGTCTCTTCTTATAAAATTAGACACTCGAGAGCTAAGAATCGGAGTCACTAGCACTTTTTTCATTTTATCGAAACCTCTATAGCTTATTAAAAAATATACCTTTTACAAAAAAAATGCTATAATTTTAAAGGCTCAATAGAATTATCTTTTATGCGACATACGTTGCCAATTAATAAAATACATGTATCAGAAAATGTTTATCATGAACGTAACAACAAAAATCGCCAGTGACTCTATTTCTTTGCTTCTAAGTGTACTATATGTCGTGGTGGCCCGAAGGTTTAAGACGCCCGCTTCCCATACATGAGAGTGCAAGTTCAAAAGCTACTAATGGCAACTACCAATATGACTCCTTCCTAATTATATGTAATTTTTAAGATTATTTAGACACCACTGACAAACGGTGAAGAAAAACATCGTGAGAAAGCCTGGGCTTATAATTTAAAATAATAAATTTGGAATCGCCAACCCGCATTGAGCAAGCGTGGTGATTAATGCTCAAACCTTCGGTGTCTGAGAACAGGCATTGCTCAGCAGTGGGCATTTATACACTAATGATGTATGTATACTGTCTACTGACATGGTCAACACAAAATCTCTATTTTAGACAATTTGAAAATAAAAGAAAAGAACTAAGGTCAAAATACTATACCTGCAACAGCAGCAACCGCTTGACTAAACTAAATAGATGCCTAAACGAAATCCCAAACTAAATATTATTTATTTCTAATCACAACAATGTTTTAATATTATAATGCTGTTGATAAAATATATCCACTTAAATTTAAATCAGTAATAATAATTCTAATTACTGATTGGTTAATTAGTGCTCTACTAATATTTGGTGGCAATAATCATTGAACTAAAATATTGTGATTATGAACTCCGAGTGAAATACATACTCTCATATTAAAAGTCCTTGCCGGATAATTTTGGGATCGAATGATTTCTATTATGCGATGAATTGAAATAATGGTATCTTATTATAAGGTGTTCCCACACAGCAGTTATTTTTTTTATGGAATACGAGGCAAACGAGCAGACTGATCACCAAATGATAAGCGATCAGCGCCGCCCAAGAACACCCGCGACACCAAAGGAGTCACAGATGCGTTGCCGGCCTGTTAAAAAGGAATACGCTCTTTTCTTGAAGGTTTGAAGGTCGTGTCGGAAATACCGCCGACGATAGATCATTCCACAGTTTTGCTGTGCGAGGCAGAAAGCTACGTGAGAAGCGCACTGTTGTGGCCTGCCAACCATCTACATATGTATATAATGGGGCTGCATATGCTGTCGTGAGAGTCGATGGCGAAAAGATGCGGCAGGTATCAGGTCAAACCATTGCTCAGAGTTATTTAACGTTAGAGAATCAGTTAATATTTATTTTTAATCAAATTATAACAATGGTTGTAGTAATACCTTGACATGTTGTAGACTATGTCACACCTTATTGTAAATAAAAAGGAAAAAGAATGAAAAAAAAATTAATAATATCAATACATAGTATAAAACAAAGTCGCTTTCGCTGTATGTCCGTATGTATGCTTAGATCTTTAAAACTACACAACGGATTTTGATGCGGTTTTTTTTAGTAGATAGAGTGATTCTTAAGGAAGGTTTATATGTATAATACATGCATATTGCACCCGTGCGAAGCCAGGGCGGGTCGCTAGTTAATTAATAATTATTTTAAATAAAAAATAACATTACATAGAGAGCAGTGGAAGGAGGGTGAGGAAGCCTTGCCCTGCTATGGGACAATCATGGCTGAAAATAAAATAAACAAATAAAGTGAATGAATACAAAATTTGATAATACTTATAATGAATAGTTTAATGTGTTACATAATGTGGTATAAGGTTATATAGGTAACTGCTGTGTGGGAGCACCTTTAATATTTTGTATAATACACCAAAATAGGTAAAAATAATGTTATACGAGCTTCTATTTGCGGCTTGGCCTGCAGCGAAAAAGTAGCTTATGTTCTTTTCCATGCTACCAACAAAATTTCAAGATGATTGGTTTAGTAGATAAACTGTAAAGAGGTTTTTATCCCCAAAGGGGTAGGCAGAGGTGCGCAATACGGCACTTAATACTACTGTACAATGTAACACCCACTTTCCACTACCTCTATTTTATATTATGAGTCCCATGTAATAGGGGGTGAGCCTATTGCCATATACCGGGCACATTTCCAGATTACTTGCTACTACTGAGATTTTTTGAAAAAACCCAATAACACTTTGCCCGACCCGGGATCCTAACCCTTGCCCGACAGTCGCACTTGCGACCACTCGGCCAACAAGGCAGTCAGAGGTTAAAATCAACGTCAATTTCGCATCTAAAATGTTAGTTGAAATCATTGGGTTAGTTAGGTTGCCATTGCCAATAGGCTCGTTGGTTGGTATGAATCTGTCCACGATGGTGTCATGTTGCCTGCCTTTTTTCGTAGAAGTAGTAGCAGTCATGAACATAAGGAAACCTACATATTTAACTATATATCGCCACCAACCAATTATCATAATTAGCCATTCACCAAATCGCCTGAATGACTAGCCGTTTGATTAAACTGTCAAACACCAAGCGGTCACCGGTGACCGCAACCTATTGTTCTATAATTGTGTCTACAAAACCGGTACTCGACAAGTTAAATGGCTTTTTTTTCATTCTGGCCTTAAGGTTAGGTTAGAACTACGACCCACAGATAAATCGAATTGCCAATAGAAATAAACATCTACTTGAATTGTACTGTCATATCATTTATTAAACTGGCTAGGCTGTTAATTGAATGGTTTATAAGGCTAGGTGGTTAGCACGTATTTACTTGTTAAGAACTGTTTTGCCCCTAGTGACGTTTGTTAAAAATGCTGCACTTAATGTTAGCTAGTAGCCTTAAAAATAGAATAATATCCTATAAGTATTGAGAAAAGCTCTAGTTTCAAACCAATATGTAGTAGACTGCGCGAGATCGCTGCGACCGCGCACGCTGCTCATAAGAAAAAACCTCTCTGTGGTTTGAAACTAGTAAAGCTGTTCTCAATATTTTCACGTGAGTAGCCCGCGATTTTTAGTTAATGTCGTATGTCTCACGATAGTTATTATAAAACATAATATTCGATAACAATCGTCTATGATAGGAATCTAATTAACCTTTGCTATAATAATATCTATTATAGAATAAATTAGCATAGCATTATACCCAGCTTAATTTAATCATTACCCCAGGCTTTGATACATGGTATTATGAGGGGTGTTGTCGATATTAATTTTATTGAGGCATTGTTTTGGCCCGTACTCAAGCTTGTACATAACTAGGTGTAGTTTGAGGTATCTTTTATGTGAGAACCATCGTGGTTGAACGTTCTGTTAAGGTATCTAATATGTACGCTTACTCCCGAAACCCATTAGATTCTAATTTTGTTTCTGATTCAAATTAGTTTTTGATACTAACTCGTAGAGCGTTTAGCACCCGAAAACCTTCATAAAAATACACAGGTATAAAGTATATTTAAATTATAACTTTCGTAAGACAAACTATACCTATGAATTATTATTTTTTGCTAATTATTTGACGAGGAACTCGACTAGCTTCAAGCCATGCTAAAAGGCTGATACCCGCGACGCGGTGACTGTCGCGTTGGTACTGAAACTAGTCGAGTTCCTCGTCAAATAATTACGCGAGTTACTTGAAAAACATAATAATTAATTTAGGTATAAAGCATTTATGTTTAACTACCGAACAGTAAGAAAACAAGTAGGTATTCTACTTACTATAAAATCTCCAGGCAACCTCCCTTAAGAGCACTTCAACTTAACTATTAATTCAATGCCCATCTTCCACGTACTTACAAGCTGACGTAAGAGCTTTACTTCAAACAATAAGTAAAAATAAAAACTAATACCTTATTGGTCGAGTCCTGTAACAAGCATATTTTAATGAGAAAGCCAGTACGTCATCAAGAAAGATTGTGTTCTACTGCAGTTCTTACTAAGTACACTGTTGAATGACAACGTTATACAATAAATAAATACGTAGATGGCCGCAGACCTAATGAAGGTTTAGATGTTTTTTTTTAATCCATTGTTTATGAAAAATTTTGTTAGGGTACTTTTATACTTCAGAAAGAAGGACAGAGAACACAGCGATTAAACAAACAGAAATGTGTAGTATAAAATTATAATTTTTAATGTACACCCTAATTTTCACATAATTATGATGGCGTGATAAAACGTCACTAAAAATAGCCCACAGATTTCATTATCACCTACTAAGTACATTAGAATTATAAAAAGGTAACGTTTTATCATAGTTTGATTAACCCAGGAACCTAACAGAAGACCGTTTTTATTCTGCGACTGGCTACTGCCAGCGGCTTCACCCGCGTTTCAGCCGCTTTGACGTTTTGAGTTACAAACAAACACATAAACTCACAAATTTTCGCATTTATAATAGCGGTTCAACCTAAATTCTACCATCGGTCCTATAGTTACAGCGTAAGGTCCACTGCTGGCAGCCTAACATTCGACAAACTTATATGAGCCGCACAATTATTTTATTTTTAAGTGTATATACTTTTTCGAAATAAAACGTACGCAGTATGATGCCTAGGATACTAACTCTTTGAGTACCATCATTTTTTTTTCTTCTTTGGCAACCGAATCTCTAATACGATACCGTCATTATAAACACAATTAAACTGTCAAACACCGCGAGGACACCAGTGACCGCAACCTATTGTTCTTTAATTGTGTCTATAATGACGGTACTCAACGAGTTAAAGAACAATAAGCGGTGTTTGAAAGTTTTAAACTATACCTAATTATACAAAGTTTCATCGTAATCGAACCGGTAGTTTTTGCGTGATGCTTGAACATAAGTATATACAGACAGACAAAAAAATTAATTACATTTTTGAGCTCTAAAGAGTATCTTTCTAGAAAACCCCCTTCTATTTATTCTTTTGAATATTTTCATTGTTCAGAATTGACACGTCTACAGTTTTATTATATGTGAAGAATACTTTCAGCGAGGCAGCAAAATAAAAAACATTACCGATATACTTACATTTACCTAAACATAAAAAGAAAAGTTAGAAGCGAATAAAAACCCACAAGTAATAGAATCTCCTGGCGAATTCCATTATATTATTCTTCGTCTTAATATTACGTTTCGTAGTTGAAACCGCTTACAATGAAACTTGTTCAACGAAAGCCATAAATCACGAACCAGATTTCTCAAATATATTAAAGTATGGAAAAATGTGTAATATTATGTGGAATGTTTAATTTCAGTATTCAAAGTTACGGGTTTTTAGATGAAAATACGAATTAAAGATTCAATCGTCTTATGGAAATGTACACCTTTTTTGATGAAAAATCGTAAATTTAGTTTTTGATATAGAAACAAAATTACGATCAATAAAGATTATTGGTCTTTATATGTTTATTAAGACAAAAACACAGCACAATATTTCCCAGCGACCAGAACGCGACTAAGCTACCAGGAATTTTGAAATCTATTCCAACTCATTTCAATATTTCGCTATTTTTACCCACTAGACTAAAATAACTGACGCTAAAAAGCAAATGTATCCAATATTGTAGTTCAACCCTCTCTTTTCCTTTCAGACAATGTCAACCATGATTTTATTTACATAGGTAACTAGAACATAAATACGAATAAAAAGAAAATATGAATATCAAAACGCATCAGAAGCTCACGAGTCGAGTCGTTATGTCAAACAGCTTCCGCACCATTACAAACAAAAGAAAGATCTATCACGCTTTGTGAATCAAATTACTGACGGTGTCAAATATTTTCGAGTATTTTTTCCTTGAAATGTCAAAGGGAATTGTGAATGACTGTTCTGCAGGAAACTGCGTGCTGCCTCCGTTTTGCATGAGTAATCCATGGAGATTTTTAGAAAAGTTTTAAGGTAATTTCATTGTAGAATGTAATACCTAGAAAGTTTAATCAAAATCATCACCATCATAATTAAGCCTTTTTCGAACAATTTCGTGTATGTAGTCTTCGGAAGAATTCTCGAAAGTATTGAAGAATCCTTTCCACATAGCCGTATTTTGGGTTGTTAGTACCTATTCAATTTTGTCCCGCCACCTCTCTGACGTCTTCCTGACATCTCGTCTGCCGTCTATATCGTTTATGTTCTGATGTCCCCGCTCCGGCATATCCTTACACGAGTTGTATTTATGGGTTACATGACCTACACCACTGCTCGTTGCCTGACCGCCTCGTTGGCCGAGTGGTCGCAAGTGCGACTGCCATGCAAGGGGTCTCTGGTTTGATTCCCGGGTCGGGCAGAGTATGGGTTTTTAAAAAAATCTCAGTAGTAGCACGGAGTCAGGAAATGTGCCCGGTATTTGGCAATAGGCTCAACCTATTACATGGGACTCATAACATAAATAGTGAAAAGTGGGTGTAACTTCTGTGTGCACCACTGCCTACCCATTCGGGGATAAAAGGTGTTATGTTATGTTATGTTATGTTATGTTATGTTATGTTATGTTATGTTATGTTATGTTATGTTATGTTATGTTATGTTATGTTATGTTATGTTATGCTATGTTATGTTATGTTATGTTATGTTATGACCTACACCAGTGGGCAGGGCTATGAGCTATGTGACTAATTACGTATGTTATCAATATTATAGTTATTTGTCTACATTAGAATGTATTACATTCACACTGATTCAAAGTAGAAGCTATTATTTTAAGCAGTAGAAGCCATGCTAAGTCGGTTAAAGGTTAAAATAGATATGACCTACTTCAGAATCTAGTACAAACTACTTTGTTTTGCATTTACGATGTTTCTGGCCATACTATCTGCCGCAAAGCTAATAATATGTGGACAATATGAAGCGTAAACTACTCCTGAATGAAATATGTTATTATTAAATAAAATTGGAGGTCATTCTAATCTAATAACATTTTTGAAGAACACGAAACTGTATTTCTTCGGTCTTTTAGTAGTATCGTAACTATTATTAATATTTGTTATTCAAATGACTGTCTGATAAGTTTTCTCAGAGCTATATTTGTATTGTAACTTTCGTGAGACATACTAAATAATTTATTATGTTTTCGACTTCCTCACGTAATAATTTGACGAGGAACTCGACTAGTTTCAAGCTATTCTAGAGGCTCATACTCATGAGCAGCATTTTGCGACCCGCGACGCGGTAACTGTCGCGCTGTTACTGCCCTACACCTTGACTAATTTCAAACATGGCTTGAAACTAGTCGAGTTCCTCGTCAAATTATTACGTGAGTAAGCCGAAAACATAATAATTTATTTCTCAGAGCTGTTGATATTTGATGGAGTCGTCAAAATGTATTGTCCTTTTATAATGTTGTTTCCATACTACATGTAGTTTACAAATTAAATCAAATAGAAAATTTTTTGTCCACAGCCAACGTTGGGAATTACGAGTGCGGGCGGGAGCAGTCAACACATAGTCCAGTAAGTGGTCAGCAAGCGAGTAGCTTCCAGGTTGGTTTCATACTATTTAAAAAATATCGATAATATCGAACAATACATGAAAATGGCAAACGGAATTTTTCCATAAAATAAAGATTGGTTCAGTACAGAGACGGTAACTATTGGTTGGCTACTGAACCGATCAATGGTTACAGAAGATGTAGCTTGGTTAAGCCTTTGGCTGCCCACAGAAAACTGCTGAAGATAAATCCTCCGCTAACGTAGGTCACCGGTGACCTATGCGGTGGGTAACGTGTTTAGAACTATACAGTTTATTGAAATGATAGGTCCTGTCTTTGTACTGAATCAATCTTTATTTTCTTACCTATATACTAAATAACTGTGTTGGTTGTACATGATGAGTATACTATAGGGTGTAAACAGAGCGATCCCGAAAAACTGACAAAAAGATATTGTTTTTACAATTTTAATTGTTTTCATTTATTCATGCAACATCAGCCTTGGGCATTTGATTGAAACTATTATTACATAAAAGAAACATTAATTCCTTACTTTTATGATTCCTATATTAATAATTTCGTCAAGGGGTACGGTAGACTCGATCAAAACATTACCTGAATAACAAAACATAAAAAATATCGATTTCGAGTCGACAATATATATCCGCAAAATTCGGATTACAGAGATTATTTCGTTTTATTAATTCATTTTAATGACACTGACAGACAAACCGCAGTCGCCATCTTGAGTAGACAATAAACGTTCCGTTTCATACTAGCTCTCAAATAAGCCAATCAAAACGTTGTAGCGTCAAAAAAGTATAAATTAACGAGAAATATGAATAATTTCACGCGAACGAATTCGCGGGTAACAGCTAGTATGATAATAAAACTTTACCATCACCTGTCGACTTTTTTCGGGACTGTTCTGTTTAAATCCAATATAATTTTATTAAGCTGATCGCCGCCTCGTCTACATATTACATGGTTTCCGACGTAGGGTCGATAAACGAACTAAATATAGCTGCCCCACATAGGCAACGTAATACAGATGATTTGGTTATAAGAACCCTATTATATAAGAGGTTTTGTTACTAGCTTCTTTAGATTTGAAAATAAAGGTAAATTAATGTTTTTTTTGGTTTTACCAGGATTACTAAGTAAATCCTAATTTCTATTTATAATATTTTAATGCGAAAGTTTGTGAGGATGTATGTGTGTGTGGCTGTTACTCATTCACTATAGCTGAAGGGATCAAAACGAATTTTGGAACAAGGTTAGATTCCGCTCTTAAAAAACTCATAGGCCATTTTGATCCCACGGGGACAAAGCCGCTGGTAGAAGCTAGAACTATTTAAAAAAAATATATAAAGTCCATTAGCGGTAACACTTCTACTATCGTTGCTCACTTCCATGATCAGTTTCAATACTTCACCCATTGTTTGATTGGTTACAAGAATAATTGTGGGTTAAGCTATTGGTAGTCAGCCAAATATTCCAAGACGACTTATTTTTTATCTAGATACTCGTCAAAAGTCTAATTATAATTTGCTTGAACTGAGAATATAAGCTGAGGCCCCTTACTCAGCAGTTAAACTTACAGCCGCTGTAAATAGTGACAACTAACCTAATGCCTATTTACACCAAATCCTTTTAAATTTTAAGAAGCCCCTAAGCTAACGTAGGTGACATTTTGTTTTAACATATTTGTTAGACATTTAATTGTACAGTACGTTACTAATTGTACAGATATGGGGTTAGTATAGGTGGTCCCTCACACTAAGTAACTTTTAGTTAAGAGATTGTTTTGGGGTGGTTGGCAAAAACGGATAAAAGACACATTTCTCACATAGGTACATTTATGTGAGAAAAACATTGCAATAATTGCCTTTATATCAATGTACTGTCGACTATTGCAACCCTTAACTACACCTAGGACTGGTACATAGTATGAGTTTAACGCTTCGATTTCCTTTAGCAACAGCTCGTTATAATAGTTCTTTCAACATTTCGTTATTGGCTGTTCGTTTTCTTATTTCTGTTTCCCTATGTCCTGTAAATTGGTTTTGTTCAATAGTTTTCCTATTGCTGCAATGTGTTTTGATTAATTTCCAAGCATTGACCTTAAGTTTTCTTTCTACCGATTTTCTTATTTGTACTTTGTGCGATTGAAACTGCGATCAATGTTTTTGAACGAGGACGAATGGTGAATCTAATTTTTCAGCCTTTTGAAAGGATTTTTATTTTAGACTTTTTCGTACTTATGCATACTCATGAAACAAATTGGGTTCTAATTTAAGACGGATATAATTCCTAACATAATATGACTGCCTACATAAAATTACCGGGGTTTTATTTAGGTTTCTGAAATATAAACAACTCAACATGTAAATTATTTGAATAATATGTAATATCCGTTATTTCTTGCCAGCAGAGTGATATTTCTGTCAGATGGAAGTTCGCCTGATTTAGTCCTTTTTTCTTTGAACGCGTGGGGTGGGTTATATTGGACGTGGACCAAATTACGCATACAACGACAGCTCCGGGAAACCCGGGATATCCAGTAGAACGCTCTGATGCCTGAATTACAAGTCAACTTTGACGTCCTTGGATACAAACTCATTTCCCCAACATGAACATAATTGTATTTACCTTTGTTCAGCTGTCAAGCCCGCGCCGTAATTAAATATTTGTTCAATCAATCAAATTGTTACATTGCTGGAGGCAGCCTTTAGCTCCGCCAAAGTCGATCGACCGCTTAATGTTACACCTACCCATAAAACTACCCCAAACCTGCAATAGATTGTTGACTTTATCACAATACGATAAAGTTATAATTAAATCATAGGAGTTATTTGAGGTGCAGATGTTTGGAGCACGCTATAAGTGGTCTCAGGGCTTGTTTCTCAATTTCTGAATGGGAGCTATGTAGCAGATCAACCTGAAATATCTAAGAACGTTATTTATCTGAACTATCTGTGACATAAGTTTATTGGTTATTTTGTGGTGAAACTAGCGGTAAAAGTATTCTGTTTACCATTTGTTTCGGGCAATATTGAACTACTTTGTATTTTCCAGTTGAATGCCTTTGTTACCAAGTCTGTGATCCGATATAGCCCATAAATGTTTGCATCGGCAACCGTATTGCCGATAGCCAATAGAAAGGCGCCGTCTACTTTATATTTGCAGGATTTTCATGCGCTTAGTGGAATTCTGTTTGTGACGGGCTGATTTGAATGCACCATTTTATATTTTCTCGAAGACATCTAGAGGTTTAATCTAAACGAATCTTTTTTATTTCCATTTAGGAATATGAAAAAAATATATCTCAAATCTGTGAATAAAATATAAACATTAGTGATATATTCAATTATGTGTTTGGTTTCTTGATAGAACGAAAAAATAGTTTGTTCCGGCGCTAAATGTCCAACCTGTTACTTGTGAGATATTTCTAAAATGCTTCCACCCTTGTGTTCTTTCTAGCGTTGCCAACGTATCTTATGGCAGCTGCTAACATTTTCTTTTCTTCAAATTTTCGTCTATTTTAATATTCTCTTTAGCTTTTCTTGGCTTGGAGACAAGAAACTTGCAAGTTAATGACGTGTCACACCTGAACGAAATCCTAGTGTTTTCTTGAATAGTACAAGTTTTCAAGTAAATGTTTATTTTCACTATTTTCTTATCGAAAAAGTAACTTTTAGTTATACTCCATTCGTTCAATGGTTTTCAACAAAGTTGTTAGTTATTTGAATTAGTTTTTAACTAGGTGTGTGAAAGCAGTAAAACTGTAGATAAGAGTTGAAAATTTCACGATTGTTATTATAACAATATCTCAAAATTAAATCTACATAACTGCCTATTTAATTGTTCAATAAATCACTCCGAAATAAAAAAAATCTTACAACAAAGAAAATTAAAGCTCAAACGAAAAGGTAAAAAAGTTAGAATGTTAGCATTTATTATCTGTTATCCATTTTCATTTAATAAGTATTAAAGATATTAAAGCCTCGCCTTCAAAGACTGCTAAATTATACGAAACAAAAAATAAGCATCAAATGTTTAATTTTATTATACAATTTGCATCTTATTACATTTTGCCGTGCGAAAATCGTTACAGTTTTCCATAGCCCATTTCCCGTAACAAAAGTTCGGAGAGGAAGCGATATTTTCTTTGTTAAAATATTTTTATCTCCGACTAGCAAAGTGCGACCCCGGTTTTCACCGAAGCACTTCTTTTATCACTTTTTCGCTGCCTACAAAATATTTTTCCACAACAGATTCCACGGTAACCTAACATTTTGTTTTATCGTCCGTTCATTGTATATAGGTTGTATATGTCTGTTTGGTGCACGCTTTTTGTTCACCAGTTCTAAAATAAATATCTTTATTATTGAATAATTTTAATTTTTATCACTGAGGGCTGCAATACATATTTATATGTTATTAGAGAAATTTAATGGAAAAAGAATAAAAATTGACCTTTTTTAACAGAAAGTTTGTATAAGTGTTGGAAAGCCATGCTTCGGCACGAATGGATTGGCTCGACTAGAGTGATACCACGACCTCACAGAAAACCGACGTAAAACAATGCTTGTGGTGTAAGGGCCAATGGGCCTACCGAAGGCCCAATTATAATTGAACTTTTCAAGAGTAGCCAATAGCTAAGTAATTGAGTTGAAGCATATTAAGCATTGTTTCTAAGCCGAACGAAAAGCAACAGATTACTTATTACCTATTTTCATTCAATTGGGAAATATTCCCTAAACAACGATTCATCCATTTTAAAGTATACATAATATGTAGGTATGAAGATTATAAATATTAATGAACCAACCCCACTCTGTATATAGCACCGCTTCCAGCTATTATATTGTATTACCTAAATTATAAAGGTGTGATAAAGCAGTAAAATTTTGAAATTGTAATTAATTTCATTATAACTAAGGATTTGAATTTATTTTAAAGATTATTTTCACGACAATTAAGGTTCAATTTTATAATTCTATAGGTCGACAACATATGCCACAAAACTGATACCGTGTACTGTTTTTT